AACAAACAATTGAGCAGAAATGTTGCTTACGGTCTCCCAACACAATACTTAAGAAGGATTCCGGACAGATCCATCCTTTGAGTTTGTGTGTTTAATGTTTTTAATTAAAACGCATTTAATTTCTTTTAAATATTTCTATAAACGACTAATGATAAATATTTGACAATATTCGGAACAGCTGTGTAACAGAAACATGCACAAGTAATTTCAGTAATGGCGCCAGCCAACACTCAGCATCGTATTAATTTGACCTATATGGTATTCAGCCCAATATATATACTTATGTTAATTAAGTGAATGTAAATTTTTGTAATTAAAATATGTATTCACTATAAACCATTTTTCTATACGAAAATAGATGACTTCATAAATGTATTATTTTATTTAATATTCTTAATGAATTACGGTTAAAAATTTTTTTTTAAATTACATTAACTGAGTATATTATTATCTTAGTTGTGTGAGATTAAATTTGTCGCAATATTAATAATACGATCCACAAAATTAATTGTCAATTGCAACTCTGAACAAAGTCCACAAAATCATATGTTTCCTTCTCTTACTTGACGTGCTTCTGATTAAGGAACGTTGGATCCGAAGGTCTCGTTGTTTTTGATATTTTTTTTAATTAAAAACTATATTTGTTTGCAAAATGGCAATGTCTAACGATGCTAAAGAACGTCTCGAATTTGTATTCGAAATTGCTAAGACGACTTTCCATTATGGTTTTATACCATTTGTGCTGTATCTTGGTAAGTTGCCGAATGTACATTTGTGCTTACTTATGTAAATAAAATTTGCTTCTTCTTAGGTTTTCGAAAGGGAGCCGAACCGGGAATGCCACCATTAACTTTGCTTAGCTTGTTATGGCAATAATTTATATAATAAATAATAAGTATAAAAAAATGTTAATAAATTTAAGTTAACCGAATCGAGCAGTATTGTCATTTTTGGCTAGATTTCACATTTTATGTTAGTTCTTACATACACTGCGATTTGTGATTAGAGTTCAGCAATTAATAATATATTTAAGTTAGTGTTAAAACTCTAAAAATTAACTATGTTATTAATTTATTGTTTTAACATACTGAGGTTTTGCAGAATTTGTGTGCTTTCTGTAAATAATAATTATAGATTTGTTATTTGCACTTTCCATGTTTTTTTAAAATTATAACGTTAAAAAAATGTAGACAAAATTTCGAATTGTAAATGTCATAGCTGTAAGAGGATGAAATATATTAACAATTGCTTTGTAATTGTGGAGTACATAAGACGCGTTGATGAAGCATGCTAGGATTTATTTTCTAGATAATCTTAGTCAGCAGTAAGGTTTCGCTTTAAATATTGTAAGTTGCTTTATGAAAAGCTTAAAGTGATTTTTCACCATGAGGTTTATACGTCGATACAATGGCGTAATAAACCTATATGTATTCATGTTGTTTTTGTAACTCGTTGAGACCTACTTGTGAAGTTTCTTTGGTAGGTGTTGAACTGCACTTGGTCGTTGCTGGTAACGTGTGGCTCCAGTATGTAGACCCGGCCGTTCTTGGAACCAGGTGGATTTACAGAATCATTTTAATAACCTAATTTTACATAGTTGCATATAAAGGTGTTAAAATTAGTTATATTTATATCTTGGAAAAAAGTTTATTTTGTTGCAAATGCCAATATGGAGAGGAGAAGTAGAATGCAAAATGTTGAATAATTTTAAATTTGTTATCTTCCTGCTGCTCGATAACATCGACGATGAGATCGATTTTCAACGAGAGAAACTAAAAAACATTTTTAAAATAATTCGACTACTTAAAATCATTCATGATAAGTTTTTTTTTCGGAAAATAGTGTATAGGATCGTGCTCGACTATACGCTTTTATCGAATTTTTTCTTTAAAACAATATATATGAATATTAAAACAAAAATATATATATATATATATTAAAACATGTACATATATTTAAAATAATATATAGGTACATAAATGCATTTGTTGGGAATATATATAAATTTCTTTTTTATATATACTAATATATTTAATTTATATATAATTATTTTTAAATATGAATATATTTTTTTAAGTGTACTTCATAAGAATTTTGACAGCAGCGTGTCACCGAAAGACGGTAACGGTAGTTGAGTATTTGTAAACAAACGCATTTTTATTTAAAAATAAATTACATGAATAAATGGAAAACTCTTTTAATTTTGCACAAAGTAATATAAATGAAATCAAAATGAAAAGTGCTTATGTCAATGAAATTAATTTAATATATTTTTTGAAAAGCTTAATTTAACGTTCAACGCTGGTACGTCGGTAAGTCCTGCCAGATTTAGTTTCGAAATTTTGTTAATAAGGAAAATGATCGATACACCATCCGATAGGTTGACTTAAAAATTAATTGATGATAAATTAAGTATATTAAAGATCAATTTCGATTATTAAATATGAAAATAATTATAGGCAGCCAACTTTAAAAAATAATGTAATTGTTTTTTTAATTTTACAAGAACAAATGCTACTCCATGTTTATGTGTATATATTTTTAAAAATTGCTTTATATGTAGGTGTGTACGGATTGGGTTTTATGCTGTATGTAATGCTTAACCCTAGCATGGAGTTTGTAAAAAGCTGTGTTTATAATTGGGATATATCACCAAAAATATACATACATATGTATATGTACTTAGTTTTTATTATAATAAATTAAAGTTTAAAGTTATTTTAAAGTCAGAAAATTTATAAAATATCTTGAAGCAATATATTTTATGATAATTAATAGTGAGATGTCATTGGTAATACATTGTAGTTGCAGTGTTGGTGAAGATTTTTCTGAATAAAAAATGCAATAAGATTGTGTGGATAGGAAAAAAATATCTTTTATATATGCGATAAATATTTATTTAAGTTAAACGCTACAATAAATATATATAATAAATATATTTATATATTAAATATATATATAATAAATATATTTAATAAATATATAATAAATATATATTTATATAATAAATATATTTATTTAAGTTAAACCCTGCAATAAATACATATAATAAATATATTTATTTAAGTTGAACGCTGCAATAAACTATATTCTTACCATTTATTGAATTTTCTCTTATAATTTAAAACCAATAATAATTAAATAAGTTTTAAAAATTTACATATGTATTAAATATTATTCTGAAAAATCTTAAAAATTTGATTCCTTATAATTGCAAAAATCAGTTGCGATCTCCCAGCGAATTGAAATTTCTACCATCAACGCAATTCCGAAAAACTAAAGTTAATAGTATGCGAATAATTCGAAGCTCTAATTTTGTAATGAAAACATTGAAATATCCATTTCAAATCGTATATATAGATATATATTGTGGGAGGTTGAGACAGCGCCGAAATAGACCACGAAGTGACTTGGGTCTTTTTGTGTCCTTCATATTCTCGGTGTCATTATTGAGTTAATGCTAAAGTGGCTTTATTTTGCATAATTACATCTCTTGTTATTGTAAGCACATCATTTAGGTTGAGATTGGCTGCCAACTCATCACCAACCCAAAGGTGTTCCAACACAGTCATCCTCCTGCTTGCCAGTGTTGGACATTGGCATAATATATGCACCACTGTATCCTTTTCTTCTAGATGTACTCTGCAAGTGTCTTCCTCAATAAAAGATATCTTTTTGAGATGATACTTAAAGTTTCTATGTCCACAGTAATCAATGAGGTCAGCTAACTTAGAGTGCTCTGCGGATAACTGAATACTTTTATCACTTTCCTGACCAACGGGTTCGGCATCATGAGTTTAGTCTGTCACCAATTACCTGTCTTCACCTGTTAAGATGAATTGATGTTATCCACTTATCGACATAAGCTGCAGACATGGTGTTCTTGGCTCTGCGCCACAGAAATTATGGCTTGATCCTTGCTTTGTAAGTTGATTTGCTCTTTCGTTTTACTCAATACCGATATGTCCTTTAACCCACATGACAGAATTATTGGAATAGTAAGCTGGTTAATATGGAATTAACCATATTAGTTCATAAATTTTATGAATAGCATGTCTTATGCTTAGAACTTGGAATCTGTAGAATTTGATAATACCAAATGGTGTATATATAGCTTTTATTTTTAAAATTTACGATTCCTGTTAAGTCCTAGAACTCAACAGTCAAACAATTTGTCGTGCTTTCATTAGACTATGCTTTATCAACCAGAATTTGTAAAAACCTTATCAACTATACGTATTATAATTAACCCACATTATTGTATGCTTTTTTATTCTATATTGTTGTTGAATGTCAGTTGAACAAGGACATAAATCTGCTGATGTCCATTTGTAGAAGTTATTATTTGATAGATGTGTAAGCGACTTGATTAGGTCTTCATATAGAAATATCTATAGAAGCTGTTAGGATGAGGGCATAAAAGATTAATTGACCCCAGTAGAAATATCTATAAAATCAGAATGAGGGTATAAAGTAATGAGGGTATGAGCATTGAGCATTGAGTGACTGTTGTCATCGTCCAGCTCTCTTCAAACAAATGGTTAAATGGTTAGTCGACATAATAAGATTAATAAGGTTTCTTTTGGAAACAATATAGTTTATTAGATTATGTTAAGAAGATGAGGCAAATCCTCTCGTAATAACATAGCAAAACTTGGCTCTATGTGAGGTCCAATAAGTTTGTGACAGGACAGCCTTTATAATAACATAAATACTGAAGATTTGATTTCGTACAGTGACATAATAATGCAAATGCAGTATTCATTTGGCAGATGGAAATAAAATTTCAATTAAAAAAGACGATGGATACTGTTTTGACGTCTCAAGGAAGCTATAGAAATTTAAGACAGATTTTTTCATATTGACTACGAAAAGTAAATGACATATTTAAGTTTCTCTATATTTTTTATTTTAAAGTTTAAGGTTTTTATATATTTATAATAAATAAAAAGAAACCTAAAATTTATTCCGGTATGAAATCAGCTTTTAAATGCTACATTCATTTTATGTCCACATTGTCCAATCTAGCTGTAAGCGGTCCCCATTTTGTGTGCCCACTCACAAATCTGCATCGAAGTAGACAAATGTTGTGTTCGTTTCTGGACGATTTGTAGTTCAATTAAATAAACATAAAATACCAACTTTCAAACTAAATATTTTTATTTTTTTTCCATTTTTATTGTGCTCCAAAAAGTGCGTGTGTCTAGCTACTTTCCTGCGGATCCTGATAGTAGGTTTCGCATAGTCTCGTGTAGATTGTATGTTAACAATTGCGCTGAGCATGTTAACTAGTTCGATGTTTGACCGTTTCTCCGTTTCATCGTTTATCCGTTTCTGCGTTTGTCCGTTTTTCCGTTTCTCTGTACAATTGCGAGTACCGCCAGACAGACGTAATTATTCGTTTCAGTTTTTTGTTTGTGTGTGCATTAATCAAAGGAGACATTTAGGAGTTGAGTATTGCGTGTTTCTATTCAATTAATATCGTACTCGATATGAAGAAATTATATCATGTACTCCCTAGACGCTTATTTTGCTTCATCTGCTGTGCTTGCAGAGTCCGGAACGCGATAAGCCGTAATAGTTGTCTCACGATCTACAGTGCAATCCCATGTAATTCAATGTAGGTAGACTCATTTTAATATGTTTATTATCAAATCAATGCGTCAGGTGAACTGGCAGTTGGACAGTTGGAGTTGTTCTTAAATGTATAGATTTAAAGTTTTCTTATAAATTATTTTATTATTTATGGTTCCATAATGCAACTTATTTTGTGGATTGTAGAGTTTCACCTGGAAGATTTGCTTATTTATTCGAAGTTTATAAATTTAAGAGAAATTTCAAATTTATTACAGATGTGCGTTTGGAAAGTAACACCATTATGGCCTTTGGTAATAAAAATAAAAAAAAATATATAGTAAATGATAAGTTTAG